ATGCTAGGTGAGACAGCACCAGCTGGTGCTGGTGGTTGTCTAAACTGGTCTGAGTTGGGGTTTTTATTACTGCAGGCTAAAGACTACACTCAATTCATTGTTGCAGCCTTCTCCCTACCTTTCCACCACTTCTCTAGACCCAGGGAGTCTCTGACTTGCTTTCCCCAAATAATTTACATCTGCACTCCTTTAAGGTGCCCTAAGCGTTTGCACTTTTGGAGCACAAAAGCCAGTGAGTCTGGCTTTTACCTATAGAAATGTAGAGAGGAAAGGAACAAGCACCAAGATGATACAAAAAAAAAAAGAAATAAAGAGAGGGAGAGAGGGAGGGAGAGAGAAAGAAAGAAAAGAGTAGTTGTGAGGATAAGAGGATAAAATGGAATCAAACATGGAGCCACTTCTACCTAGAAAAGAGAAGTGGCTCCTTCCCCACTTCATTCAGAGCAGGTGTTACCAAAGCTCAGTTGGGTTTTAGAAAGATATGCATTTCAGAAGGTACAGAATTCAGGCTGAAACAATCCAGGAGCCAGGCCATTTATGGCCATGCCACCCACCTCAGCTCTGTGATGCAAAGACCTGAGAATTAAGGGAGAAAACAATTTCTGTCAGAGGCAAAAGTGGATGGGGATTAGGGCTGGGCTAGAAAGAACAGTCTGCTTTTGCTGACTGGAGAGAACCCAGAAAAGGATGCCAGGCTCTGAGTAGTGAACCTGGAGAGACTTGGCCTTCACCCACCTAGGACAGCAGGTGGAGGAGGGAATGAGGACAGCTGCAGCAAAGGATCTACCAAGCAAGAGGTCATGGGACAAATTTTCCTCACAGCCCTCCTCCCAGGGCTGATTGAGGATCATCTAAGGGCCTAGAAAAGACGCTTCAAGACCTCCCTCTGGGGTGCTTTGTCTTGGTCCCTTCCATTTCTCACCCTCTTTCCCTCAACAACACACTTCAGTTCCTTGTGAAATAAATTCTTAGGGATACTGCCCACAAATTCTCCAGATGGGACCAGAGTGAGAATCAACACCTGAACTGAAGAAAGAATTCATTTAAATAAAGGAGAAATATCTAGATTCCCTATTTTCTTGAGAAAAAGGAGAGCTAGAGGCATGGCTCAAGACATAGAGCCCCTTCCTAGCAAAGGCAAAGTCCTGAGTTCAAAACCCCAGTAATACACAAACACATACACAAACTAACAAAAGATACAAGCAATGTAAAACAGAAAAAATGCTACTATAAAACAATGAAAAATGTTTAATTTGATAATTTTTAAATGGAAAATCATTGACTATTTAAAATTGGCCAAAAATATTTTAAATGATAATACCCAATTCTGGTAGTTTTGAGGTGAAACTAGTAACCTAACATATCAATGACAATGTTAGTGATGAGAAAACAGTAATGAAAATGACCACATCCTTCAACCTAAGAATCCCACTTCTGGGAATCTATCTAGAAGTAAAACAGAAAAATACAATCCATGGTTAAAACAAAACAATACTTTAGCATGAGTATGTTCACTGCAATATTATTTATAAAAACATTAATCTTAGTAAGGAGCAATAAATAAATAAGAAAATAGAGTCACTAAAACTGGCTGTGAATATTATTCAACAATTTGAAAAATGGTTTTGCTGGTGGAATGGCTCGTGTGGTAGGGTAAGCATGAAATCCTGAGTTCAAACCCAACAACAAGGGTTTTGATATAACAGTAAGTGATGATAGAACACAAATACTTCATATGTACCATAGTTATGCCTTGCTGACAAAAAAAGCAATTTTAGAATGTAAAATTAGTGTTTTTCCTTTATTTAAAATTTTTTCACCGAGCATGGTGGTGCATACCTGTAATGCTATAACATGTTCTATAATGTGTTTATGTGGGTTTATGTATAAATAATTAATTGCTTTTTGTTTGTTGTTTTTTTAAAGAAATACAACCATGTGGTAGCAGGCTGGAGGTGAATAAAAGCCAAACAAATGACTTAGGCATGAGCTGCCCAAAGGAGAATGTTTAGTCTCCTTGTCCATTCAGGCTGCTACAACAAATAGCACAGACAAGGTGACTTACACCACAGACATTTATTGCTCACAGTCTGGAGGCTGGAAAGTCAAGGCCAAGGCACCAGCAGATCCATTATCTGCAGAGGGCTCTCTCTGGTTCATAGGCAGTACCTTCTTACTGTGTCCACATGTGATGGAAAGGCAAAACACTTCATGGGCCTCTCTCCCTCTGACCCTGTCTGTCTTGTGGTGCTGGGGTTTGAATTCAGGGCTTCTTGCTTGCTAGGCAGGTGCTCTACCACTTAAGCATACAGCTCTTTTTGCTCTGCATACTTTGGAGATGGGGGTCTCACTTTTTGCTGACTGGACCATAATCTTTCTATTTTAGGCTTCCTGAGGTAGCTAGGATGACAGGTGTGCTAGGCTGGCCTTGCAAACTGTGATCCTCCCAATCTCAGCCTCCCGAGTAGCTAGTATTACAGGTGTTGAGAGCCTCTCTTATGAGGCAAATTCTACAAATTAGGTCTTGATTTACTGCTCCACTCCCTCTCCCTGCCTCACCCATCAATGCTCAACACCCTCCATATACTTGGGTTTGCACAAAGCCATTCCACCTATATAATTTTTCATTACTATTAGTAAATTAGAAAATTAAATTAGAAATTAGTAAATTAGAAAATTACATTAGTAATTTTTCATTACTATTATCAAAATACCTGAAGGTGGATAAACTTACAAAGGAAAGAGGTGATTTAGTTCACAGTTCTGGAGGCTCAAGGGCATGTGACTGGTATCAGTTCAGCTCTGGTGAGGACTTCATGACATGGCACATGTGAGAGCTTGTATGGAAGAGACCACATCTAGATAGGAAGCCAGAGAAAGGCTGGGATTCCACAGTGCCTTTTAAGGGCACGCCACTCCTTAGACTCCCGCTAGGTCCCACCTCTTAAAAAGTTCCACATCACTTCCCAATACTGCATCCTGGGTACCAAGCCTCCAACACAAGAACCTTTAAAAGACATGCTCGAGCCACATCCAAACCATACCATCCATGATGGCACAGCCATATGCCACCTGCTACTTTAACTAAGCAACCACGGGTCTTCTCCTTCAGCTCATGTAATCCAAACTTAGTCACAAACTTTGGTTACTTTTGTAGAGGTTTTGTAGAGGTTTTTTGTAGAGGCAGAGGGGAATAAGGTTCTAAGAATTAAGTGTTGCCTTTCCAGGCAACAAGAAGCACTTAATTTGTGATACACAGAAATATTCTATGCATATAAAACCTGAAAAGGGAAAAATACAAAGGTGCTACTGAAGTCTCTTATGCCACTGAGCTCCTGGTGCACACTGTATTTCCTCCTTCCCTCAGCCAAGGGATGCAGAGCTCACCTCTGCGCCAAGTGTGGTTCTGCACACGGGAGACAGAAGTGAGCCGAGCACACAGTCCACTATCCCAGAGTTTAGTCAGAGCAGGGAAGCCTGCTGGCTCTGTCACCAGACTGCCAAGCTTTGAATTCAGGGTCCTCTGTTTGTGATTTTTTCTTTCTTTTTCCAGTGTTGGGGATGGAACCCAGGGCCTGGCACATTCTAGGCAATCAAGCTACTTCTAAGCCCTTTGTGATTTTCTTGATCTTGTGCCTGTCACTGCAAATTTGTGAGCTAGGTATTGTCAATCTCATTTCACAGATGGTGCAGCTGAAGTATGATTTTCACTAAGTTTGTTAGCTTCTTTCTCATAAATACCTGTAGTATGTTTCTTAGAGCCAAGTGTATACTAGTGAACCCATAAACATGTGAGTAAGAGTGTACTAATGAAGTCTTATGACTTTGTGGCCATTCTCAGTACTGAGGTACAGTATCCTTTATCCCTCTTTTTGCAAGTAGATACCTGAAGGATGTCTGTCATCACAGCACGTAATGCAATCCAGTGTTGTGGGGCTGGTCTGGATGCCTTTCCAGGAAAAGCAGTTCCAACAAAGACCAAGGCAGTGTGGCTTTTGGGTGATTCACACTTTACATAAAATATGTTAACTGTACTTAGAAAATTCAAAATTAAGAGTCTGGTCCTCAAACATCCTGTTGCAAATTAGGCCTTGACCTCCATAGACAGATCTGAGTAAAAAGGGACAGCATTAATTCTGGTCACACTCCTACCTCCACAGGCTGAAGGCCCACCTGGCTACCACAGGTAACCTCGCAGGGGACAAAATGAAGACAAATTTCCTCAGCTTTTTAGAACTCATGCCACTTTTGAGGCACAGAAAAAATACCACCACCACCACCAAAAAAAAGAAAAAAAAACATGGTAATTTAAGAATGTTCTTCCATACCTCAACCCCTTGTATTGTGGAAAATCACTTCAGAGGACTAGGTAAGAGTTTATTAGATGCTAGGAGTGATGGCTTGTGCCTATAATCCCAATATTTGGAAGGTTGAGATGGAGGATCAACTGAGCTCAGGAGTTCTAGGTCAGCTTGAACAACATAGTGAGACCCTGTCTCCAAAAAAAAAAAACATTCCAACATGTTGGGGCTGCCAAACGCAGCCTTGGGAAACGGCCCCTCCCAGTGGTAAAGCAGGAGCTGAATTGGGACAGTGAAAATCAGCTTCCTCCAGGCCTTCTGACAAGACAAGGTCAAGTCCATTCCTCACCTTGTCTAATTAATCTCACCCCACAAGGGACACCACAGGACCAAACAGATAACCCACAATGTGGGATGCTCCACAGGGCAACTGATCTGGTTTCTGTGACAAATTAGTGGCAGGGGACTAATGGGGCTGATTACTCATATTGATCCTGCCTGGCTGCTGATATACATAAACCAGCTGTAAAACAACCAAATTGACTATGAAGACATTCCAAATATGGCTTTTGTTAAATGATAATGTGATGCATTAATGCGGTGTAAGAAAATACCTATAACTGTCAGAAATATCCACCAAAACAAGTAGTGGTGGGTATGCTATCTGGGACTTAGTTGAAAATACTATTTAAAAAAAACAAAGTCCATAGAATGAAATGAAACAAACGTGGCATCAAACGTCTTTTCCTGCATCATTCTGACTTTGAATATGATTGAAATTTTTCATAATTAAAAAATGTAAACCAAAGAGTCAATTACAGAAATCACAGCCGTTCTCAGCTCAGCTCCAGAAAGTTGCAGAGACAATCACCTGAGCTACCCTGTGTAACAACAGATGCTGGACACTCACATATAACAGTTACAAGCTGGTTTCCAGGTTTGAAAAATGTTGTTTCCTCAATTTTACTTCATGGGACTTATAATTCATTTTGTCACAAAAACCTTTAAAAGGGTAGGAAACTCATGGGAGGGAGAAGAAAACACAAGGAAAGACATGGATGGTGCTGCTACAAGTTCTCACCCAAATGAAATGGTAGCCAAAACTGCTACCCCAGGTGACAGAACCATCTGCAGACTGGCTTACTATGGGTGCTCAACAGGCCCTCCACAAACACAAGGATTTGGGCCAGCTGCACATGCAGACCCTAAAGCAGAGGATCTAACAGTACTCCACAAGGCCTAATGCCAAAGTTTAAATGTGCATGACAGCTTTCAACAGAGCATTCAGTTTTCTTTGAATTCTCAAAGCAATCCATATCCCACAAAGTTAAGAACCACTGCTCTTAATTAAAAAAGGGTTGAAAGGAAACTGGATTGAAGCCCTGACCTTGGGCTGTTACAGGAAAGGTTTGTTATTTGAGAACATCTGACATTTTTGGAAATACTCATGATAGGTTCAAATGGACCTGATTGATGGTCCATCTCCAACATCCACAAACCAAGCACCTTGTTCTACAGACAGGGCAGGTTACATCCATGGCTGATTCTGCTTGCACCACCCACGTCTCCACTCCCGTGGTGCAACTCTGGGCATAAGAAGGGTCAGGGAGGGAGATCAAAATGAAACCAGCTCAACACCACCAATCCCAAACCAGCTACCCAGGCCAAGGGAGAATGAGATCCTTTGTTATCAGGCTAAGGTCTCTGCAAGGATGCTAACAGGAAGAATAAGTAAAGCAATGAGTTTATTTTTTCTGACTGTCATAAAGAGACAACAGAACTTCAGTGCCCCAGAAGTTGTCCTGGAATCAGTGATAGCAGGCCCTGGGCTGAGAACAGCACTGGAATCCTTTTCTGTAATCATCGCATAATCTCTCCTCCGAGGACAGCATAATACCACTTCGGCACTGTGTGAATCTTCAACAGCACTCATGTTTTCTTGTCCGCAAAGTTAGGACAGACAGACTCTCTCTTACCAAGAGTATCAGTTTAGAAGGTCTTTTGCTCTGACACGCTGTCAGGTGGAAGGACAATAGCAGCATCATTCAGTTTTATTCAATGGTGGAGCCCAAGACGTTGGTCAAAGGCCACTCCAGAAAGATAGGAAAGCAACTGTGCCCACCACTCAATCCATTGCCCACCACTACGACCTCTAACCACAAAGAAGATCAGAGTCCACAGTGAGATGAGTAACTGCCCACAGGTCTCCAACTGTTCTTGGACAGCACACACGGTTCTCTATGAGGAGCTACGTTCATATCAGCGCCGGAGCCTCAGAAAGAATGCATGTTTACACTCTGTACTCTCCAATGGGTAATATTTATCATAAAAATCTAAAACATACTCTTCAGTCTTGAATCCAAACTTCTGGTATAGCAGCATAGCAGGGTTGCTTGCTGAGACGTGAAGGGTCACATCCTTGCCCATGCAGGTCTGCCAAAGGAGTGGAAAAATACAAGGTGAAACGAAAGGGCCTGAGGGAAAATGAGTAGGTGAAGAAACTCTTCCAGTGCAGGCAGTTAGCTGCAGGAACTGGGAATCAGGAACTGAAGCTGAGGAGCCAAGTGACATTTTACTGCTCATCTAAGCTTCCCCAGGTTAAAGAGACTGATATAACCTTGGGGTTTGTTTGTTTGTTTTTTAACCTCTGAAGCAAAGGGTCTAAGAGGATACTTTATTATTTTATTTACAATTCAATTACATTTAAGTCTTTTTTTTTTTTTTTGGTAGTACTGGGGTTTAAACTTTAGGGCCTTGTTTTTGCTAGGCAGGCACTTTACCACTTGAGCCATTCTGCCAGCCCTATAATTCAATTACATTTAAATGTCAAATTTATCTGTACCAACACTGACAAACTTGAAGAAACAGAGACTGAGATAAATTCTGCTTTTCAAACTACATGATATCTTATGCCCCATACCCTAAACTTGCAAGAGTTTCCTTCCTAGACCTGCTAGAAAAAGTGCTAAATAATATGCAAAGAAATGAAGTATTAGGAATTATAGAGTTTGAGGACCTTGTATAGCCCTCTGAATCTCTAAGTCCACCTTCTATCCCTACAAAATTGACAGAATTAGCTCCCCAGAACTGTGATTTCTGTATTTAGTACTAGCCTAATTTCAGGGGAAAAGAGTAATAATTGTCCTATTAACACAAGGCAAGTTTTTAGATTCTTTAATGGGCTACAGAGATAGGTATCCCAGAAATCACATAAATTAAGAACTTGCTTTCAATGAGGAAGGCATTAAAATGCTGAAGTTGACAGAGTCCTTGAGATTTGTACTTTGTGGTTCTAAAAATCTCTGTGGAAAACTCTGGAGAAGGCCCCCTGACAGCTTCCTTCTTACTCTCTGCTTAACCCACACTGTGGGTCCAAATGCATTTTGGAGACAAGAGAGCACTAATACTACATCAAGGACGACAGCATGTTGTGAGCGTGTACAGCAAATTCTGTGGGTTGTGGTCAGTTCTTCAGATGACAAATACACACCATTTAACCACAGACATCACCAAGTACTACTGACTGACCCCGTGTTTGGGCCCTGGGACCTATGGTCTGATCGGGGTGTAAGGTGCCACATACAAAAATAAGCCCAGCAAACACTTAGCAAAGAATGCCTCCATGCCAGGCATTACATTAGGCACCAAGAACGCTCAACTACCATCCCTGCCCTGTCCTCTTTCTGGTAATAGAAAAGGCAGAAAATCCTGGAGGCACTCTGCCAGGACAGGAAGATGAACACAAAGATCAATTCTGTGGGTAGCATCAGGCAGAGAAAAGGGACATAGTAGAAGTAACTGAGCCCATCTTCAGTGAAGCAACACATGGTGGCACATGTTAATTGCCAGAGAGTGATTTACATAGTCACTACCTAGAAAGAAAGCAATTTCAAGGTTCCTGCCAAGATCTGAGAATTATTAAGCAAGTCTCATTTTATCATTAAAACCTCTCTTTAAAAAGAATCCTGAACCAGGTGTGGTGGCGAATGACTGTAATCCTAGTACTCAAAAGGCAGAGGTGAAACGATTGCAAGTAGGAGGTCAGCCTCCAACTGTGAAAAGGTATGTGACACCCTTTCACAAAACAATAACACCACCCCCCCAGAAAAGGAATTTTGCCCACATCAAGATTATACAATCCTCTGTTAGGAAAATTTATTAGGAATCAGTTGATTCCTAATAAAAGTTACCAGAAAAATTCTGGGGGTGGGGGGAACCCTTGCTTGGGATTTTTTCTTTATGTTAGTATATAAATATATGGTACATATTTTTCAATTATAAACTAGATATATCAAAGGATGAATTCAATATTAGAATCAAGTCTTAAAAAGGTCTCAGAAGCTTAACAGTGATAGTCAAATAAAAAAACAATCAGCAACAGACTACATCCTACTTATCGATAGAATCCCAGTAAAATGTTTAAAATAGTTAAAGAAATAAAAATCATAGCTCTACTCCCACTTCCTCAGAGTGGTGAGGATTTAAGCGTAGTAGCAGTTACCAATATGGACAGTGCACATGCTTTATAGTGTTGCATTTGGTATTTTCTTGTTTTATTTATGACACATGTTCACAAAATGGTTTCTTTGAAACCTGGGTATGAATAGCAATCTTATTTTAGGGAGCCAGAGGTTTTTGTTCATAGGCTTTCACAGCTACTTCAGTGGTGATCCCTGGTTTCCTTTCACTTGGTCTCCAATGCACCACCCATTGGGCTGTCCTGGAAAATACCAGCTCAGCCTCATGCCCCCACTGGTCTCTCAGGGGAGCCCTGAAAGGTGACTCAATTGTGAACACAGACAACTTGCCTGAATCAGGTGATAGATCATGAAAGTTGCAATCCCTGCTCTTCTCCATTCAGGATGGACAAACAGAAATGAAATGTAGGCCTCGTTGTATTTCACATCAGGAACCATGAAGCCAAAGGCAATGATGACTTTTTTATACAGGACAACAACACTGAAGTCTGGATACTGCAGGCACTCAGACAGATCAATGCCTATGGAAAAGAACCAGAGACTCTAAATGGGTGCCTTTTTGAATTAACAAACACCAAGCTGTTTAGCCTGTACTTAGAGCTAAAAAAAAAAAAAAGAAAAGAAAAGAAAAAGAAAAAAATCCAAAATTGAAGACAAAGATATTACCATAGATACCACATATCCAGATCACAAAAATGCACTTTAGAAAATATCAAAATTAACATAGTCTTTTCTAAGTACATATGTTAAAAGAAGAGAGGCAGGACAGGTTGGGTACTAGAGAGTGTTTAAGTGCAGAACTGGACACATGTGGCTTTGACTCAGCCTCTATCATGTGTGTGACTTGGCATATTTCAAAATTCTCAGTGCCTTGGTTCCTGTAATATGTAAGAAGAACATATCTAGACCTGATGGAGCTGGGGTAAAGATCTGAGAATATCCTATCACAGTCTTTACTCCATCCATATGATTTGTAGCTTTTTATAAATCCTTTCAATAAAAAAGCAAAATAAAAAAAAATAAAAAACCTAATTCTGTGCATAATGTATGGAAGGTACCTAACATGAGGGCAGAAGGACCAGATATCCCCAAAATGTGACTCTGGCCTCAATACCACTCCTAGAAGAATGAGTACAACTCTGCTACCACATATCCACTTCATGACTGTCAAACAATGAAGATAACAAGGCTCTAACTTTGAAGAAATCTTCTCTAACATCTGGAAGACTCATATTACTTCCTTTACACAGATCCACAGAGAACATGTTTCTATTTAGCAATTAAAATGTGTCCCTGTAATTGATGACTTTGGTCTTTGGAAATAATTTTGTTATGGCTGATAAAATCACAAATCATATTAAATTTACCCTTACTTCCAAAAAGTCTATGATTGGGGCGTTTGGCTTTTAAAAAATATCTTTTGGCTGTACTGACACTCTCTAACAGCTAAGCAAACAAAACAAAGAATCATTAAGCTAAAACGAAGTGTCCAAACACAGGTAAGCTGCCAGACTGTGTATCTTTGGTAGACAGACATTACCTGGTTTCTAAACAAATGTGGAAGCAAAACAGGATGGATCTTTTATTCTGGAAGCAGAGACAAGCAGGGAAGAAAAACAAACAAAAATACTGTTCATTACTTTAATTGCTGGCTTCTTTTTGATCTTAGGAAAGTGGGAGGCATTTATATTTTAACATTTCTATGTTAGTAGAGACAAACTAAATGAAATCATAAGAGGAAAAGAGCTTAGGGTCACACAGCATCCACTGATTTAAAAATCACTTGAGTGAACTATCCAGAAAATTGGTCTGCCCGGTCTGGGAGGAGGAACATACCAGGCCAGAAAAACTCCTGACACATAGAGTTGATCGTTGGGATGTGATTTGGTCGGACATAGCAGTAGTCAAGAGGTGCGTCAGGCTCAGGTGTCCAGTGTGGGTCACTCCTGTGCAGGTGGGAACGAATCTGTGACAGGAGCTGTAGTTTGGGTGGCTTTGTCTCATAATCACGCCTCCAGTACCACAGAAAATAAACAAATTCAAGTCAAGAAAAATATTCAGTATTATTCTTAGCTATCTGACTCACATACACTTTGATCTGTGTAAAGTATTAAACTAACTTGACTGCTTTTTATAACTAGCTTGTTTATAGCTGTTATAGTTCCCTGGTATGAAATCTAAATTTCAGACTCTTAACATTCATCAGGCCAAACCCCTCCATATCCACCAGGGCCTGTACTGGAGCCTTAATGAACAAAGTGCAGAAACAGAAAGAATATGGATTCATGCCAGGAGGGCTCAGACACAGGCATGCACCGCCAGTGTGTTGGAGGCCAGAAGATGTAGCACCTAAGCTCACAAACTGCCATCCAATATGTTTTCCCAGGAACCTCGTGCTAGGTAAGGAGAGTCAGGGCGCTGATGGAGCTGTAGAGCAAGTGTGGCACAGTGAAGACTGCACTGTCTTAATCACAGTGCCAGATACCATTAGGGGTCTCTCTGGACAAGAGACAAGCTATCCCAGCGTCCAGGTCAGGTCATGGCTCAATTGAGCTATCGTTCCATTTTTTTCATTTCACAAATATGTACAACTTTAATGTTTAAAATAACGGATACACACATACGCAAAATCATTATGATAATCACCAAAAACTCTAGCAGCTAACTCATCCTTGATGTTTACATTTCTTTCAAGGGACCATATTGTCTACAAAAGAGTGTGGACATGGAACAACTATCCTTGCCAGTGCCTGCTCACAGCGTTAGGTCTTTATTCATGCCAATGGAAGGGGGTGCAGTACCACAAACATCACACCTTTTCTGTACTTACCTGATATAAGGCTTCAAGATACGAGAAGTATAAGGGCTGACAATACTTTGGTCTACAGCCATATCTTCTGATCCCACCAAACGATACAAAAATTTGGTGGTCTGGTGCCGAAATCCTTTCCTGGATGGCAAGGCAGTCTATGAGAAACAATGGTTATATAAAAATAAAATTACTCAGAGGATTGATTAATTTCCATATGTAGGTCTTCCTATGTAGGTCTTTTTGTATTACTTATTTAGAAACCCCTATTTTTTTTTGGTACCTTTTCTGAGACAGGGTCTTGCTATGTAGCCAGGGCTGGCCTTGAACTCAAAATCCCCCTGCCTCAGCTCCCACAACCCTGGTGTTGAGATTATAGGTGTGTACCACTGCACCTGGCTCTAGGATTGAACCCAAGGCATATTACTTATTTTGAAAAGTTCATTTCACTACAAACTTCGTAGGCACCTTTGCCTACAATTAAGTATGAAAAACTAACCCATTATAATGGTTCACAAGTCAAAATAACTTTTAAAATTATTTAAAAATCTCGAGTCACTTAAGTGAGTGAAGTGCAGGACTGAACACTGACCTTACAGCTTCTGTAGGCTTTATCTTGTCTATATATTATGCCTTCAACCCACTCACTTCATATTAACCAGCAGTAGTATGAAATACATGTACATGATTATATGACCATGCTGTTATCCTAAGAGCCACTGGGGCCAATTGTTGCTACATATGGATTTTTTGAAATATGCCCCTTTTGCAATGAGTAAATGTGACAAAAATGGCAGTGATGTAGATTAATATCTCTATAACAAATCTCAACAGCAAGTTGGTCCTAGCAGAGACTCAGTGAGGACACGGCCTTGGTACCTAAGGAGGTTGTCCTAGCAGAGCTGGTGGACTCCATGTGTTTCCTTTGCACCCCCAGAGCAGCTCTGAAGGGTGCTGTTCTTCAATAAGCACTGCTCCAGGGCCCTCAGTCGTGTAGTAACAGAACACGTGCAATTAGGGTTTTATAGCATAGAGCTCAGATGGAAGATTAAAAGGCACATTTAGAAAGTGGTGTGCCAAGGGTTGGATGAAGTTTAGAAACCTGAGTTGTTTTTGTAGAATCAGTTTGCTCTTTGCCTAGAATATAACTTTGTTGAAAGAAGAACAAGACTTCTTCCTTTGTAATTTGCTCTCATACTTTTCCAACCTAGACACTAAAATTTTTAAATGCCAACTTTGAAATCCTTCCAAGGCTTAAAGTAAGTTTCAAAGTAATACTCAAAGTTGGTATATTTTCCAAATATGGCCATTAACAATTCCTCCCATCCCTGTAGGTGTAAGTGGCTCCTCATATCAAAAGGCAGACTCTATCCACATCTCACACTCCTGTACTCCTGACCCCCAGAATCTGGGTTGGCCTTGTGAAGGGCTTTGACCAATCAGAGAATGGCAGGAGTAACACTCTAGCACGTTCAAGCCAGGGTCTTAAGACAACTGGCAACTTCCTCTTGGCTGCCACGTTTTCCCAGTTAGGTCAGTGAGTGACTAGCATTCACATGGAGACGGGCTCCAAAAAAAGAGAAGTATCCTGGCCATTCTAGTCTCAATCCAGCTCCTAAGCTAATGTAGCCACAGGAGTGACTCCAGCCTTCAGCTGAGTCTAGTCAATTCACAGAATCAGAAGAAATATTAAATGATTATTATGGTAAGTTACTACATTTTGGGGCAGTTTGAAATACAGCCACAGATAACTGAAACACCAGTCACTGACCTAGTAGCCCACAAAATAGTCTCCCTATCCAGTCAGTCTCAAGGTGAGACCTGAGGAGCCTCGTGGATATTGGAGTTCCCCAATTTCCCTCCACCTCCATTGCTTTCACTTTACTCTAAATCACCTCTCCCACTCTGCGTGGACTACCACCACTGCCTCCTGTTGGTATCTCTGCAGTCACTCTTACCCACATCATCCATTCTCTATATAGAATCCAGACTCTTCTTTTAGAAACACAAATTCACTTCCCTTGTTCACAATTCCTACGTGGCTTCCCAATGTAGGTTCAGAACATAATTCAAGTTCCTCACCTATGACTTGCAAAATCCTGCAGAATGTGGCTCCATTACCCCTGTGGCCTCATCTCCCACTGCCCTGGTTCCTCTGCCATCATGATGATCCAGCCATACCCACCAGCTTATAGCTAGGCCTTCCATCTTTAGCATTCTTCAGCCTGGCTCCTCCTTGTCAATCAGGACTTAGTTCAAGTGCGACCACCATACAGAAGCTGGACTTAATTCCCTGGGAGAGAGCAGTGCCATTGCTCGCTTCTCCTCCCCTCCATCACAGTACTCTCCTTGGGTCAAGAGATCTGTGTGCTTAGTGAGTTAGTCACTGTCACATCCCTACTCAAGAATGTCAACTCCGTAAGGAAAGGGACCTTCTTGGTCTTAATTCAGTCATATCCCAGCTATAGTAGTGTTTGGCACATATTAATTATTCAACTTACATTTGTCGAGTGGCAAAGTGATGGAGAAAAAGTCATCCCAAAGTTAAATAAGTGTGGACAATGTTAAATGTGTTTCTTTAGGTGGGCTGCTGGATTCTTTCCCAAAGCCAACTGGGGAGAGGCCACAGATGTGAGCAGAAAAATGGAACACAAAGCTAGAAGAAAGTCCAGGGAGCTCAACGATAGCTAGGACCCAGTGAGAGAGAGAGAAGAGCAGAGCTCTGCACTGGATGGTGCTGGGGCTGCCTGGTTATACGGTCTGTCTCCCTACCATGCTCTGGTGGGCTGTGACCCATCAATTCTGTCAGCCTAGCACTCATCGGAGGTTAATGTCAGCACAGTGCTGGAGCCTTCCTGAGGTAGAAGGGAGGTACCGCTTTGAGCAGTTCTCAACACTCCCTACTTCATCAACGACAGCACAGAGAGGAAGGGCAGCACCAGGGCCATCAATCCTGGGAGGATCTGGGAGGTGAGGCTGCCTGATTCTGGAAAAAGATGAGGATGGGAAGTGGGTTATCCAAGAGCCCCCAATTTACCAAATGCTGAGAGGGTCACGAGCTAGGCAGCAAGCTTTTGCTTTTCCCCCAGGTGTGTATGACCAGCAAAGGTAGCTGGAAAGATTAAGGGAATATAAGCTTACAGAGGTGAAAAAAACCAAGACACATAAATGAGTGCAAGAAAACAAAAGAAGTATTGCAAACTGAACAAACCATATTAGAAAAGGCAGAATTATTTACCAGACAAGAATTTTTTTTTAAAGCACACTAGTCATTGGAGGAAATGTGAATCAAAACTACAGTGAAGCTGGGGTGATGACACACACTTGTAATCCCAACATTCAGAAGGCTGAGGCATGAGGATTATGAGTTTGAGGGCAGCCTGGGCTATATACTGAGTTCAAGGCCAGCCTGGGATATATAGTTAGACCCTGTCACAAAAAAAAAAAAAAAGGCTGGGCTCATGCCTGTAAGACTAGCTACTCAGGAGGCAGAGATTGGAGGATCGTGGTTTGAGGCCAACTGGGCAAAAAGTCAGCGAGACCCCCCATCTCAACCACAATAAGCTAGGCATGATGGCAAGTAATTGTCATTCCAGCAGGAGGAGGCTGTAAGTAGGAGGATTTTGGTATAAGGCTGGCCCCAACACAAAAAATAAATAAAAAATAAGACTCTACCCATCTCTATGTCTTCTATTCTTCTTATAATGATTGAAATAAGGACCCACCCTATTCTAGTATAGCCTCATCTTAACTAATTAAGTCTGTAAAAACCCTATTTCCAAGTAAGATCCCATTCATTCACAGGTACCAGGGATTAAGATGGCAACAGATCCTTTTGGAGGATACAATTCAACATACAATGATGATCCCAAAACACTGCATAGTATATCTTCTTCCAGAAGCCCTTATTTAATAGTGGCAATCTTCCTGAACGGCTAGATTTGTTCTTGCAACTCACTTTTTGTTTGCTTTTCTTTTTTTAACTGAAAGTATATTGTTAAGGGAAATACAGGCTATAAAGAAGAGGAATAATTCACACTGAAAGACAGAGTGGCTCCCTCTGGGGTGAGTAAATATCCACACGAGGACTTCTAAGGTGCTTGTAACACTATTTCTTAACCTGGAGATACCCGGCATTTATTTTACTCATTTCTAAGCTATACCTGTATGTTCTGTGCCATCTATCTGTATGACCATTTCACAGTTAAAAAACTAAAGTACAGAGATCAAAATGACAAACCCAGAAGAAGGAAGAAGAGGTGAATAAATAACTGTAAACAAAAGAATGCCAATAAGCAGATCAAAGAAAGCCAAAACCTAAGCTTGCAATAGATAGGCCAAGAGCATGGTGATTTACAAAACACAGCCTCAGGAAAGCACAGCAATTGGGGCATCAGGTACAGCTAAAGCTGAGAGTGGGCAGCAGGGCTGTGTATAGAGAAGCTCTCTGTTCACCCACATCCAGGAAGTGATCTTTCCCTCCATGGGCAGAGGAATGAACACTGTGGAGAGGCTCAAGAGAGATTCTGGACACATGGAGCCAAGGTGGGAGCATGACCTGTCTTGAAGACAGGGTGATTCAGGGAGTTTACTTCCTGAGTGGCAGACTCCTGGCCCTCTCCATTTGGTTCCTAAAACTGCAGGCATGCAGGTTAATACTTCAAAGGAAACATGGGAAGTAGAAGGGTGAAAAAAAAAGAAGAAATTAAGAGGATCTGTCTAGAAGAGGGGTTTTGGCAAACTATAGCCCACAGTCCAAATATGGCCATTACCCATTTTAGTATATATCCACTGGGACACAGCCAGACATTCATTACAGCTGTGTTACACAGCAGAATTGAGTAGCTACAATTTACACTGTGTGACCTGCAAAGCCCACAGTTACTTACTACCTGGTCCTTTACAGGAAAAAGTTTGCCAATCCCTGGTCTACATGGTCCAATATCCAAACAGGGGAGGGAATTCCTAAAAGAGAGAACAAAGGAAACACTGAACCAGAAATCAAGGAGACTTCCAGAACTCAGGGAGGGAGAATGTCAGATAGACAGGGCCCACATACCAAACGCCCAGCACAACAAAAGGAAGAAGCACCAGACCTGTATGTGACTGAGTATGTGAACGTGGCAATAAAGGTAAGATCCCACTAGCTTCCAGACAAGAAGTCAGAAAAACATGTGAAGTCTCTAAACAGGCAATTCACAGATGGAGAAACAAATAGGAAACACAAAATGTTTAGCCTCACTTACAATCAAAGAAATGTCAATATAAAACAAGATTTCACTTTATAGCCACCTGATTAGAAACTTACTGGCTGGCTGGTTGGTATCAACTGCCAGCAGAGAGAGGGGGGAGTCAGACCGCTCACTGCTGCTGGTGGGGGGGGGGTCAGCGGTGCTGAGTGGACATACTTGTTCGATGGACCCTCGTCAGCACCCTTTGAGCAACACCGACACTCTACGTCTTCGCGTTGTGCCCAAGCTACACAGAGGTTTACACACCTGCACATCCTTCTAGGCACAGCCTCGCCAACACTGCTAGTCTTCAACAAATCTGTCAATCAAACCCATGAACCGCACACAGCTTCCTTCAGAGACTGAGGGACAGCGAACTTCTAAGCTAGATCTTGACCGTCCAAGGGAAAAGGCAAAACTGCGTATTACTGGATAGTTACACCGACCAATTCTGAAACGTAAAGCCCAGCAACTTTTGCCTTTCTCTCCAGATCTGACCGTGGCAGCCTAATGCCCCCGCCCCCGCCCCCGCGGAGGGAGAGGAGAGGAGAAGGCGCGCTCGAGACACCTGGTACCGGTCGAGGATCCTGAAGTCCTGGCAGGTGGTGCGGTAGGTGGCTTGCCCGGCGGGAAGCCTGGACACTCCTGCTTCCTTGGCGCCGTAAAGCCCGTCGACCAGCAGCAAGGCGGCGTTCACCACCTCGTCCAGGTCGAAGAGCGGCAGCCCACGGTCCCTCTTCGCCTGCCTGACGATCAGCTTCCGCTTCAGCCTCCGCGCTTCCGGCGTCATGGCCACGGCGCCGGGGCAGGCTTCCAGCCTCTTGAGCAGCAGCTTCTCCTCGTAGATGCTGACCGGGGTGTACTTGGGCCCTTTGGGCTTCGTGTCCTTCTCCAGGGGAGGCTTCCTCTTCTCCCGAGCCCTTGCGTGCACAGAGGCATTGGAGTCTGTGTCTTCGCTGTCCACGTCCATCCTGTCCGGCTTCTCCTCCTCGCTCTCCACCTCCTGCTTGATCTGCTCAGGGGCTCGGACCTTCTTTCTGCCCCCCACGGGTCCCGAAGCTGCCGAGCCGGCGGGGGGCGGGACGTACTCCATGCCCGGGTCTATGACGCCGTCACCTTCCATTTCGTCGTCATCTGCGCAGAGCAGAACACCGTCACCAAGACGCGGGAGAGGAGAGCGGCGCCCGCGGCCCGCAGCTGACACGTTCGTATCGCGGCCGCGCCCAGGGAGAAGGGTCAAGCCCAAGCCGTACGTACTTACCGTGGAACAGGGCTTGTGGCGGCATCACGTCGGGAATCAGATCAGCTTCGGAGAGCAGGCTGGGCGTGGCCGAGTGGGAGGCCGGGGTCCCGGGGGCAGAGAAGTCCAAGGACGGGGAAGGAGAGGGGCTGGTCAGGGGCGTGCGGTCCGAGGAGCTCAGGGACGAGAAGTCGATCACTTCTCCTTTCTCCAGAATCACGTCTGGCCTTCGACCTCGGCTAATGAATTTCACGGGGGTGGAGGATGTGCTCCTGTCCAGAAAGCCTGCCGCTTCTTTCTGGGCTCTTCGAATGTCTTTGGCTTCCTGCGTTCGAGACCTTTTCTCTTTTAATTCCATGGCAGATTCCACAGGATTCCGACTTGCTCGTTTTCTAAGTCCCTCCACCGTAATGATGGGCTCCAATGTTGGTTTTGAGGCTGTCAGAAAATATATCACTTTTAAGAAAACTATTTAACTATAGTTTCTTTTATAATTTATTATTGTGAGCCTGATGCCATATTCAGAATAGAGAAACATTCAGTGAATGCCCTAAACCAAAAAACTTAGCTATCCCTTTAAAAGAAGTTGTAAACAAGGACTGGCGGCTTGTAATCCCAGCTACTCAGGAGGCTAGGGCAGGAGGATAATTTGAGCTATTTAATCCAGACTGGTCTGGGTAACATAGCAGAATCCCATGTCAAAAAATAAGAAAAAAGTAAAAGAAAAAAGTCATAATGCAAATTTGACCAAATAAATACTATCTTTCCCCTATTAGAATTGGTAAACACGCAACTTTCATAATGCTCAGAAAAGGGTGTCTTTCAGACATAAGTTTTATTATAGTATTGGAGAGTAATTCACAATACCAATGAAAAATTTGAATGAATATACCCTTTGATTCAGCAACACTATTTCCATAAATGTATTGTAATTTCCACACATACACAAACTTGAAAAATTATAATACTGTTTGAAATAAAAGGGCAGAAACGACCACAATGCCCAGCATTAGGGGAGTGATTTGATACATTATCATATAGTTATACAATGGAATTAGTGAAATAGGGCCGATCTACATGTTCTGAAATTGAAAGATGCCCAAGACATACTGGGGGGAAAGTGAGGAAAATATTATATTTATGCTTTCCTTAAAAAATGAGAAAATGCTTAAATCTGCAGAGATAATATCCAAAAGCATTCACAAGAGACAGAGTGGTCACTCCAACTGCAGGCAGGGGACAGGAGGAGGGACTGTAAACTCAAGTCTTAAAATAACTTTTTAGAACCTGTGGCTCACTCGTGTAATCCTAGCTACTTGGAAGGCTGCAGTCAGGAAGATCAAGGTTTGTGGCTAGCATGCGGAAGCGTGAAGTCCTCAGTTCAAACCTTAGTCCCAGAACAAACAAACAAAATACCCTTTAGATTTAAAAAAAAAAAAAAAGATTAATGTGTGAAACAGTAAGGAATTACTGTTAATTTTTAAAATGTAAAATGGCATTATAATTAGGCTGCAAAAAAGAAAGAATCCTTGTCTTTAGAGACACTGAAATATTTAAGAATAAAATGCTGATGGCTGGAATTTGCTTCTAAATAATATAAGAGTGAAGATGGTGGAAGGGTAAGGGAAAGTTCCAGGGAACTAAATAAAGTGAGATTATCAGGAGTGACTATTGCTAAAGTGAAGTGAAAAGTAAATGGAAATTCTTTATACTACTCTCTTCACCTTTGTGTTTTTAAATTTCTATAATGAAAAGTTTAAAAGGAACCAGATTGAGGGCTAGAGGCATGGCTCAAGAGGTAGAGCTCCTGCTTAGCAAATGCAAAATCCTGAGTTCAAACCCCAGTTTCAGAACTAGAGATATGACTCAAGCAGTAGAGTGCCTGCTTTGCAAGTGCAAAGCCGTAAGTTCAAACCCCCGTCTCACCAAAAATAAAAAGTAGCCAAACCCCTGAAACTTTCAGACATTAAAAGAAATTTATAAAACTGACAACTTGATTAGAATATGATAAAACTTTTTTTTACATAGTATTTATCTATAGCATACCAAAAAAAATATGTCATCATCAAATCTCAAGTGGAGCAGCTCCAGAGAGACGGATGGGCTAAGCATCACAAAAGCAGGTCTGTCTGGCCCTGGACTGACTAGCTCCTTTTGTGCTATTCTCACAACAGTACCTTTTACTTTCAAAGTTGAAGCAGACAACTTCTCTCCTTCAGGTTTCATTGTTGGGGGCTTGTTATGAACAAGTTTCCACCATCCAGGCTCTCCAAATTCCTGAGCACCTGAACGGAAATACATAGGACTTCCCACGCTGAGACAACCTGCTACTGTGCTCCACCACGTCGAAGTCTTTTTCCTAAAGAGCCCAAGAATTTAAAAACTATTGGCACTTCAATTTGGTCATTGTATATGGAATACATTCTATGTAAACTCTGACTTCTAGTCTGTGATATGCTATGGAACCTGCATATGCTAAGGAACAGGGCACAAGGGTCAAGAGAGAGGTTCTGAGTCTGCCTGGCTACAAATCCTGGCTCTACTACTTTTCAGCTGCCTCACTTTCTTCATTTGTAAAAATAAGACAGTAGAATTACCTCATAGGATTGCTATGAGGATTAAATGGAATAATTCAAACAAATCATCATGATAATGGATTTCCAGACTAATTTTAATTAAGTTGCTTTTATTTATGGATTGAACAATCTCAAGAAATAAAGCATGACCAAAAAAAAAAAAAAAAAAGAAAGAGAAGAAAAAAGTCTGATTTTTAGCTGGGGATGTGGTTCAAGTGGTAGAGAGCCTGCCTAGCAAGCATAAAGACCTAAGTTCAAACTCCAGTACTACCAAAAACAACAAAAAGAGAAAAAAATCTGAGAAATAAAACAATAAAACAAACAAGAAGCATAACTCCAAGACTGAGTGTTTGATGGCACAAGTTAATCATCAGTCCTGGTGAATAGCTCATTTTATCCCAGGGAGACAGCTGCATCTCTCAGTCTGCTTTACTTTGCCTTGATGTACTAGAGTGGTAATAAACTACATAAAATACAAAAATACATAGAACAAAAATAGACTGCACAAGAGGTGAAATTATTAGGGTGATGATGAAAAAAATTTTAATGGAAATATTCTATTTCTACATTGAAAATGTAAATCAATTACCAGAAATCCTAAAAGTTAGGCTAGAAGCATGCCTTAAGTGGGAGAACACCTCCCTAGCAAGCATGATCCTTGAATTCAATCCCCAGTGCTATCAAAAGAAATCCTAGCTGGATGTTGCTGGCTCATGCCTATAATCCTAACTACTCAGGAGGCAGAGATCAGGAGGATCAAGATTTGAAGCCAGCTCCAGCAAACAGTTTGCAAGACCCTATCTCAAAAAATACCAAACACCCATACACACACTTTTAAAAGGGCTGGCAGAATGACACAGTGGTGGAGTGCCTGAGTAGCTAAGATGACAAATCTCGTTACATTTTTTGCCACAATAAATAAAAAAATTGACAAAGACAAAATATTTTAAAAAACCAGGTGTTGTTGATGAAAGTGTGGGAAATGAGCACTCATGCATTGCTAGTAGGAATATAAACTGATGTGTATTTTCTGGAGGTTGCTTTTATAATACATGTTTCATATGTGTATCCTTGACCCTGGAAATTTAATCTCAAAGATATAAAAGATGTATACACAAGAATGTTCTTTACAAAGTTGATTTAAATGGAGAAAACCTGGAAATAACCTAAATGTTCATAAAATATATGACCAGTGTTATGGATTGAATTGTGTCCCTCCCACAAAAAGATGCTGAAGCCCTAACCCCCAGGACACTGAGAAAGTGTCTCCACATGAGGAGCAAGTCAAGATGAGGTCATTAGGTTGGATACTAAGCCAATGTGAGTGGTGTCTTTACACAAAGCTGAAATTTGGATATAGAGACAGATGTATACAGAGAAAAGATGATATGAAGACACAGGGAGAATGCCATTTATAAATCAAGGAGTGCCAGAGGTTGACAGCCTCTTAGCTGGAAGACAGGCATGGAATAAACTGTCTCTTGAAGCTTCCAAAAGGAACCAACCCTATCAGACTTCTAGCCTCCAAACTGTGAGACCATAAACTTCTGGAGCATATACACTTTATGAATGTGTCTCAGCTATCTCCAATACCCACTCCTCATCAAACTTTCATTGTGGTAAAGTACACCAAACATTTACTCTCTTAACCATTTGTAAGTCCAAAGTTCAGTGGCATTAAGTATATTCGTATTGTACAACCATCATCACTGTCCATCTTCAGAACTCTTTATTGTGAAAAACAAATCATATAGCCAAATTCGAATCTCCTCTCCAATGAGAATCACCATTCTACTTTTTTCTTTTTTTGGAGGACTGAGGTTTGAACTCATGGCCTTACACTTGCTAGGTGGGCATTATGCTACCTGAGCCATGCCCCTAGCCCTGACATTGTACTTTCTGTAGCTATGATTTTCATTACTCTAAGCACCTCATATAAATGGAGTCATACAGTAGTCTTGTAACTGGTTTATATCAGTTAGCATAATGTCCTCAACGTTTATCCATGTTGTAGCATGTGCCAGAATTTCCTTCCTTTTTAAGCCGGAATAATATTCCATTGTATATATACTCCACATTTTGCTTAATTATTCATCTGTTGATGAACACTTCTGTTGCTTCTGCATTTTGGCTTCTGTGAATAATGCTGCAATGAACACAGGAATACAGATATCTTTCTGAGACTCTACTTTCAATTCTTTTTTTGAGTATATACCCGAGGTATAATTATGAGACGATATGATGAGTCTATGTTTAATTTTATGAGGAACCACTATACTGTTTTGCGCAATGGTTACATGATTTTACATCTCCATCTTTGGTGCACAAGGGTTCTAATTTTTCCATATTCTCACCTACAGTGTTATTTTCTGTTATGTTTTTTTTTTTAATTTGAGACATAGTCTCTCTACATAACCCAGGCTGACCTCAAACTCACAGTCTTTCTGCATCAGTTCCTGAGTGCTGACATTACAGGTGTGCACCACCACAATTGGATATTTTCTGACAGTTGCTATTCTACTAGGTGTGAGGTGGTATCTCGTAGCTCTGTGTGTGTGTGTGTTGTGTGTTTGTGTTTCTGGAGTTTGAACTCAGGGCTTCGAATTTGCTGGCCAGGTACTCTACTGCTTGACTCATGCCTCTAGTCCTTACTGTAGCTTTGATTTGCATTTCCCTAATGACTAGTGTTGTTGAGTATTTTTTCAAGTGCCTACTGGCCATTTTCCTATCTTTTTTGGAGAAATGTCTATTTAATGCCTTTACATATTTTTGCAGTAATGAGTCATTATTGACTCACTGAATAATGAGATTTAATGACAATGGCTGCTGCTTCTTTGTCTACCCCTCTGTGATCAGAAATAGTAGTCAGTGATGAGACCACAGATTCCCAATATTTGGAGGACAGGGTTCTTCTTTAGCACCCTGGATCCTGTGGTCTATGTGCAAGCTGCACCCAAAACAGGCACACACAGCTCCTTGCCTTGGGGCTGCAGCTGGGGGATGGGTAGCTGCTACTGTGCTAAGAGCTGAAATTGACTAAAATCAACCACAATTTACTATCCAAGCCTTCCCCCTGGAAGTTGCAAGCCTTTATGAGACTCCAGAGTTCCAAAATAATTGCCTTAAACAGATTTTATCAGTGCAATTGTGGTCTAGGTAAGGAGACAGATTTCTGCTGCTTCCTACTCCACTTCCAAGATCCCCCTCATATAGTTTTTTGAAGTATAATTGCTATGACAGTGTTCTATCACATTCCATCAAGTCTAACATCCATTCACTTTAAGACAAACCATCCATGTACAAGTAGAAAAGAGCTAGCTAGGTAAATTATGACCTACCATCAATTGTAAGACATATTCAGCTGTCAGAAATGTCAAAATGTGAAAAAGAGTGCATTTTGAAATCAGTGAAATATGGTAATAACAATAGTCAAACTATTCTTCAGTAATCAAAACTATACCTTCTAAAAGAATTGAAGACTAAGATGGTAAAAGCAGGTTAAATGTTCATTCACAAATTGCAATTAATCTGTAGTAATTAAACGCTTGCATACTTTTTAACTTGTTTCTACAATGGTACATAAAATTATTTAGGTTTAGCCCTAAATAAGTCTATATACTTTTAAACTTTAATAACAACACATTTAAGGCATCAAATTAAAAAGACCAGGGAGAAAATGTACATAAATTTAGAGTTTCACTACACAGAGTATCATTCTCTTAGATACTATGACAAATAAGAACTGGTTATCATTTTTAAAAATTTAAAGTATATCCTGCAGATAGCAGAATTAAAATCTTTAGTATTTTGGAAAAAAGGTTTCACTTAAATATAAATGTCCTTTATAAACTGCTTTGTGGGGGGTGATAGGGAGTTAGGGATCCTGTTAATTCATACATATTGTTAGCCACCTGGGGTTAGTGGTGGCTTATGATCCTTCCAGTCATTAATACTGCCCAAAGTGAAAGACAGCACTGTGGCAGGAAACTGGGGAAACAGGAATCATAGTGATTTCTAATTCTCTTTTACTCCTGGCTAGAAAATTTATTGCTTTAAATTCTTACTTAACACTGTAGCTTCCCTGTTTAACTGAAAAAGAAAGTCCCACATTATCTTTATATACCATAGGTGCAGCTACAATTTAAAGGCACTGGTTTATTTTTAGTGTGCTGATTTTTATAGTTAAATTCTATTTTGGCAAATGATACAGGCTTTCCACTTACTATGGTGAGGTAAAGTTTCTTTTTAAAATAAATGTATTTTTTATTGACTTGATGTAAGTAGAAAGATTAGATAAATAATTCAGTAATATAGTCAAAAGTCACTAGCTGAATGGTTAATCTACATAGAAACTGGAGAGTAATTTCACTGAAGGTTAAAAAGAAGAAAAATCTAGCTGAGTCCCCTCAGAACATGCTCTAAAATGAACAAATGATACAAGTGAGCAAGTTCTTTTAAAATCCAGCATTATTCTTAAAAACGGGCAATTTAAATCCAATTTTTTCAGAAGATAATCCACTAAATAGAACAGTACTGAGAGATCATGAAAACATTCCAAGATCTAATTTTACTGGTTTTCCCTTTCTTGTCCTTTATAAATGAGGCATATTAAGTTTCATAAATACTGTGAAAGCATTAACTAAAGCAACAGATTTTCTTTCCTTATGAGAAAGAACCATAGTGTCAACTCTTTTCTCAGCACCACTAAAGAACTCAAAAATTAAAATAAGCCATTTGTAAAACTTGAACAGTTCATTCTGTTCTTTCTCACAGGGAACTTTCAGAAGGGTGCCCCTCTTCTCCACTGCCTTCCCTGTCCCTCTCAGGAACCTAAGCAAAGCCAGTTCCTCAGCACCTGAGGAAACAGGCTGCAGTGAGTTCAGAGTCAAAACACGTACAACTCTGCTCTGACCTGAAATGATTGAAACCTTTGGCATGTCTACACTGACCTAAGTATGCAGGACTTATGAATCTCTCACAAGACTTCAGGTAGCAACAATCAGAATCTCAAACAAATTTACCTATGTAGCAGCAAACTCACTAGTCCCTAACAGTAATAAAAATCTTCTTACGTATGGGTTGATGGAGTGGCTCAAGTAGTAGTACGCCTGCCTAGCAAGCATGAGACCTTGAGTTCAAACACCAGTACAAAAAAAAAAAAAACTTTTACATATGGTTTCAATGTCTGTGCATTGCTAAGTCTGATGTTCATCCCTAGGTCTGAGGACCCTAAGCAGCCAGCAGGGAGGAGGGCTCAGTAACAAAACTCAAAGCCCAATTATAAGAATAATTCATGAATAAACCATATGTGTGTTAATGTGGCCAGACTTTGCTAAGTACTGTGAGTATTATAAAAGAATTTCTACCTTCCAGAGTTTAAAAAAAAACAAAAGCTAGTAATACAAGACTTTATTAAAGGTACAGTTAATAACTGCTATTTTCTCTTTTGACCTCTATGTCATTAATTTTTAAAAGGATACGATGGACATAATATCCTATTTCCTCAAGTTAAATAGTTACTCATCCAACTCTTGAACAGCCCCATTTAATCAAACTTTTTTTTTTTTTAACTTCTAAGTATCTCTTCAAAAGTATCATGCTTAGCTGTGCATGGTGGCTTATGCTTATAATCACAGCAGCTTGGGAGATGGAGATTAGGAGGATCACAGTTTGAGATCAGCCTAGGCAAGTTAGCAAGACCCCATCCCAAAAAACTAGACACGGTGGCATGCACCTCTGATGATCCCAGTTACGTAGGAGGCCAAAGATAGGAGAATTAAGGTCTGAGGCTGGGCCAGGGAAAAAGCCTGAGACCCTATCGAAAAATAACTAAAGCAAAAAAGGGCTAGGGTATGGTTCAAGAGATAGACCATCTACCTAGCAAATGCAAGGCCCTGAATTCAAACCCCAGTATAGCTGCCCTCCACCAAAAAAAAAAAAAAATACCATGGCTCAGTGGTTTTTTTGGCTTCCCCCCGCCAATGTTTTGTTTTTAAACCAACACTTTCCTTTGCAAGTAGAAAGAGAACTATGGAAATTCACAATTTTATAGTATAAACTTGCATTCTGAGTTTTCATAAAAGTTGTTTTAACTTAAACTTTCTTTGTAACTGCCATAAATAAATACTCTAAGTATCTAACAGAGCTACATTAGGCTGTCTGAAATCATTTATGCTTTGTCCTTTATATCTTCCTTCAAGTGTAAGATAGTTAAAAATTATATTACCTATTTCCTAGTAAAAAAGTCCAATGTTTCTCAATAAAAGCGCAGATATCTTCTTTCCACCTGAAATAACCTTGACGTCCACTTCCTTCCAGAGATAAGTTGTACATTGCCAACATGACAACCTGAAACATAAAGGAAATGGGCTAGGAGATCAGTGTGATCAGGGATGTTAATGTTGGGGAAGAAAAAGTCTGTTCTGTTCTAACTTCTGGGAATAGAAATAGGGAAGGATGATATCTCAGAATATTCCAGGTATAGAATTTTACTTTTATGAGATCACTAATTGACTTAGTTATGTGTAGTGGATTCTTTATGTGATATGTATGTAGGGCTAACGTGTGGTTGAACTTATGGTGACAAGAGAGGGCTGATAAATAGGCATTGTCATAAACATCCCACCCCTACCACAGTACAGCCATAAATAAAGGGTCAGCTGTTAGCCAGAAGCAGCCCTCCAGGTGCCTACTCCAACTGCATTTTCTGACTGATGGTGCTACCTTGTATTAAATATTTTGAAAATCACTTTAGAATACATGCCTTTGTAAGCTCCTTAAAGGGTAAAATAAGACTCTCAGAATTTCAAAGTTGAAAATAATGTTAATGACTGTGTTAAAGACTCAGTGACTAAGCATGGGTAGCTGTGGAAATCTTTCTTTGAATGGAATCAGCCTAGACCAGGGCCAGGGAACTAAAAGCCTTGATGCTCAGCCCATTGACAGAAGACTCCAAGAGACCCCAGAGCTCAGTGTACAAACTCCTAATCTAGTCCAGCCTTATTGGTTTTATAGAGTATGATTCATGGCCCCAAATAGGGGGGTATTTTTCAGAAACATGAATAACACATGTTCACTGGAAAAGACTTTAGTAACGCAGAAAAGTGCAAAGAAGGAAGTAAAAAAGTCATTTGAAGCTATCAAGAAATAACCACTTCTGACATTTCAGTGACTATCTTTTTCAGACATTTCTTTACATGTATATTTATGTAGATGTTTTGTGTATGTAATTTTACATAAATGGACAAAACTGTAGAAGCTATTTAAAATTATGTTTTCTACCTAATAAAAATTATAACTTACTTTGAGACAAAGAAACTGAAAGGAAAACAGAAAATCTAGAAAAGAAATTCCTTCTCAAGGGGACAGCGTGAATAGCAGTAGTCCTTTACTATCACAAATTATGCAGTCAAGTTTCCCACATTCGGGGAAATCAAAGGGATCAGCACATCAGAGTGAGATGGGTAAGCCTCATCATGGGAAAACCACATTCATGATCATGGTATCTCCTCTGCCAGGTAAGTATAGAAAAGAATTCTTAAATAATCCTTTCCACAAGGAGCCTCCAGCAGCTGTTAGGAACCTGGTAAACTGTAATTAATGCCCCATTATTTGTGTTCACAGCATTAAATCCCCAGTAGTCCTATGAGAATAGCTATGCCTACACTACTCTAATTGGGGCCAGTAATTCTGATACTTCACTATCCGAGTTTCAGTTCCCCACTCTTAAATTTGTAACACCTCAGTAGTCTACTACACAATTAGCCTCATGAACAGATTTTTTTCAAACATCTTCCACTTATTTTTTCATCAGGTCATAATCAGCCGACAAACTTCCCTAGTTAATACTCATGGAGAGCTATTTAATGGAAGATAAAAATGTTCTGGAGATGAATGGGCGTGATGGCTACATGTGGGTGTCCGTAATGGCACTGAATTGCACACTGAAAACGGAACACCTTATGTATATCTTAACACAATTTAAAGGAAAAGTCATTGTTCAATAAATACTTTAATTATGGGTGATTGTGGGGACAGTACTGGGGCTTGAACTTGTAGACTCATGTTTGCTCGGCAGGTACTCTATTGCTTCAACCATAGCCCCAGTCCAAATTATGGAATAAGCTTTGCCCACTCAGACTCCTAGAGTATTCAGAAGCATGTAACCACTGCTCATCTCAATGGTATGTGTACACTATTTTATTTTCAGTGTATTTAAGATAATTCATGTCTTACAAACTAAAATTCACAAATTTACTTTGAAAATAACTTTTCACTATTAACACTTAATATTTACTCACAATATTTCCTCCTTTTCTGGAATTTGTGATCTATAAGAATGAATCCCAGTTTAGTTTTCTGCTCTTGTACTACCAAGTTCATCAGTAATGACACCAGTCTTGTGAACTAATAGATCCCCAGGGCCTATCCCAGGGCTGGTGCTGCCACAGCAGACACTCAGGAACTATCTGTTGAAGAACAGCCAGAAAATTAATGAGCATAGACAGTGACATCTTTATCTGTGCCTTAAGACTAAATCTCCAGTACAAAAACTTAAATGTCCCTATCTTTCTCAGATATTTGATAAAGTTTCTGTGTATCAAAATGTTGTTTATAAGAGTCTTCAAGGAGGAAGAGTAGAGGACACAGAAAAGGGACATAGAGGGATGGGATCTTTCAGTTCAGAGACTAGACTTCTTTATTATTGGAATTTTTTAATACAAACAAAATGCTGTTTGTTACAAGCATTTCTCCCTACTACTTTGATAAATCAGCAAATACAAAGGTTAAGATTTAAAAAGACAGAAAGCCCAAATTCAATATTGTAAGTATTTGGAGACATCAATGGAATAAAGACCAATTGATTCTCTTTCAGGTCTTTGATGAAAGATGGGTTTTTTCAGTTGTGGTCAGCCAAAAACCAGATGTGCACTGGTGGGATAGCAGTGCACACATGTAATCCTAGCACTGAGGAGGCAAAGACAGGAAGATCTCCAGTTCCAAGCCAAACTGGGCTACATAGTGAGACTCTGTCTCAAAAAAACAAAACAAAACGAAAACAAAAAACAAAATATGTGTGACCTAAGTGACCTAATTTATCACTTCATCCTACCAGGGTATTATCTCTCCACCATCAATGTCTCTTCTGGAAGTTACAAAAACACTTTTCAGGCCGGAGGTGTGGCTCAAGTGGTAGAGGGCCAGCATGGTAAGCACGAGGTTGTGAGTTCAAAACCTCAATACCACCAAAAAATATATTCTTCCCAAGTGATGCTAATCTAATTAAATATGCAAACTGAGCCAATATTATATATTCTGAGCGATATAATCAAAAGCTAGCTTTTCTTCTAAAAGCTACCTCCACAGAAAATGAACAATAACAAATTAAAAGGACAAATTACATATATTTGCTGCTGTTCTTCCATTTTATAGCTTTTATGAGAAGCCACTTGCAGGCCAAATACAAATCTGCCTATGTATTTACAATTCGCGATTAATATTAACATGACCTTGCCTACAGGTATTATCCCGCCGACACTGGGAAAAATATCGCTATTGTAACAGTCATGAGAGTATATCTTCAATTCCTTTTTTTTTTTTTTGGAAAGTCAAAAAAGGCTTCCTAAACTCACCACTGATAGATTTCATGAGATGTCCTAACATATAATAATTAAGACAACAGTCTCAAGCTGGTACAGCAACTACAATTTACAAGAAACACCTTAATTGGCCCGAACAGTGTAATCTGAAATCTTTCTCATTACACTGTTTATTTTCTTCAAAGCAGAAAGTGCTATGGGCAATTATCATGTTTATCTGTTTATCATCTAAGTAAGTGTGGAATGTCAGCTGCCTGGGGATAAGGGTTGTATCTGTCTCATTCACCACAGTAATCTCCAAACCTAGAATAGTTCCTGTCCACTATAGGCACTGTGAATCTGTTAAATTAAAACACACACACAGACAAACTGGAGGCTGAGGCTGAAGTGTAGAGCACCTGCTTTGCAAGCACAAACCCTGAGTTCAAACCCAGTCCCACCAAAACAAAACAAAACTGTATATACCCTGATGCCTTGTCATATATAAACACTTTTACAAAATAAAACAAAAAAATTAATACAACTCAGAGATCAATAAAAAGCTATTGCTCCATTATGGTTGGCTTGGATTACAGTGTTAGCATTGGGGACAGTAAAAGTAGACATTCAGTATTCATCAACAAAAATACTCAAACGTTTCTGAGTTCAATTGAAGAAAAACTGGATTGTTAGCTTTTGCAATCTACTACACTACTTCTTCCAAATCTGTTTCCAACGTAGCCACCTTATAGCTTTATTGTACTAAAAAAAAAAAAAAAAATGGCTGCCAGAAAAAATGTGTACTTCACTTTCAATTAAAGTCAGAGCTTGGTATTATATATAAGTAAAATTGTGTGGAGATTTTCAAGACTCTCAAACTCAGTTTACTAAATTAGCAAGTATTTTTTTTTAACAAAGAAATTCCCTTTCCATATATTCCATATCCCAATTTTCACTGTGAAAAGCTCAAAAATTTTAAATCAAAGCTCATATGTAGGTAGATTCCTCATTACAGATAATAATTCCAACAAATTTCTTGGAGGATCAACCCAATGAATTCTAGAGAAAAGTTTTTTACTCACTTGCTGCCATGTCAGCTTCAGTCTCTCATACTGCTCCTTGCCATCTGCTGAGCAATCTGAACAAGTAAACCTAAAAAAGTTATCACCCTTAAGGTAACTGAGCTGTTCCCTCAGCTGACCTAGGAGAAAAACAGAAAGTTATATCATATGTTTATCTTGAGCAGCAAATGCAAAGGTTTAATCATTTTATCAACCAATTTCCAAGTTTCCCATGAGTTTTTCCTTTTTTTCAACCAACCCTCAATAGCAGGATGGGAATGGAAAAGGGAGTGGAGAAAAAAATTTATTCTTCTTCTAACATCAGGTGTATGCCCCCACTAGGATCTGTGGCTCCTTAACTTTTAGGAGAAAGGTACTGGAAAAGCAGGTATGATTGCTCTAACTGGATTCTCCAACTATAACGTTCCTGACTCCTCTGGGCAGGTCTTTTTGTACATTCTTTCAGAAAACATCTGAGCTCCCACCACCTGCCAGGCAACCAGATGTGCAATGTCCAAGGCAGATAAGGTGCCTGCTCTCACTGGTTTACAAGTGTGTGAGGGCCGAATAGAACACAGATAATCACAATTGCACAGTGGTTCTCCATTCTCATGGAACATCACAGCTATTCAAGGAACTGTTTTCTATTTTCCTAACTATGCCTAGGTCTGCCCCAGACAAAAGAAATCAGTCTCTGAGGTGGGGTGTAGGCCTGTGCATTTAAGTTCCCAGGTGATACCAATGCTCTATGAAAACCATAGTAGTAGATTGTAATGTGCACCACAGAGCGGGGTGGGCACTTAAAGGGGTGTCCAAGCCATATTAGGGACATGGGAAAGTTAGATGAGGGGTCTACTAGGGCCTGGGGGAGAAGTAGAAATTGGCCAGGTGAAGAGAGTGTGCATGAGGGAAGGGCATGAAAGCCAAGGAGATGCATCTAACAGAGAGGAAACAAAAGTGCACAGTCCTAGAGACAAGCTAAAACTGGTTTTTGGAGAATAAAAATTTCACTCTAACTGTAAAGTTTTGTTTACGTGTGGAAGCAGAAGAGGCTGAAGAAGTTAACAGGGGCCTAAAAGGGGGAGTTTAAAATTTACCGTCAGGGCAAAAGGAAAGCCACTGAGATACTTGAACAGAACCCTGAATTAATAAACAGCTCAGAAGCAAAACTCAGCTAAGTAATAAATTCTAGGTTTGTTTTCTATGAAAATGTTACTGTTAACTTATTAATAACTATTAAGCTGAACACCTGAATCCATTTTTACAAAAATGTTTCCACATGCCAGAAAATGACCCACCTCACAACAATGTGAAGTTAGGAACTCTCTTACATAAAGCATTTCTCCAGTATGTATATTTTGCTGTAGACTCTTGCCTAATGGAAAATTCTATTTTGGTACAAATCATATAATGACTGGCAAAGCATGCTTAAAACCAGGAAACTGGAAACTGAAAACCTCAAGATTTGTTATGTGACTCTGCCACTAGATAAAGGTGGTCACAGGCAAGAAACAAGACTGGTCCTGGGAAAGGCATCCAATCTGTCGATTCTAACCTGACTTCAGCAGACAATAGCACACATATTAAATAGAACAGTAATTTTTATGAGCATGAACTTAAATTTACACTGGGACTAGAATCTGGTCCCTAACCCATAATATAATCTTATTAGAAAAACTTGGTTAATACCTTAAGTAACACTGGATTTCCAATTTTCCAATTTTTATTGGGTTATCATCAAGAATGTTAATTTAACAATGGGATAGAGGTTGACAAGAACTTTTATTAGTTCAAATGTCTATATTTTATATAAATTTGTATGTGATAACTACATTAGTAATAAATAATATAATAATTATCCTTTTATTTAGGTCTACATTCGTATTTCTTTTACAGGCTGGAAACACAAAACTTGGAACAGACAAATCAAAGGAATTGAGAAGCTCCTTACTGGCCGGTATCCATTTTTGGCACTTGTCACAGAAGTAGGACAGCTGCTCCTCCATCCACGACACATCTCCTTCGTCGCTGTTGAGGGAATCCCCACTCTGGTCATGAGATAAGTCCACAGATGCCTGATCCTCTGACTCAACAATCAGGAGCGTCTCTCCCTCCACTTCACCCTCTTCCAGCCCTTCTGAGGTAGATGTTCTGGTGGCTTCATCATCGTGTCGACTTATCAAACTGCTCAGATGGATGTTACTATCCATCCCTCCTGCTCACAGGTTCAGAAGTGCTCTTCAGGAACAATCCTAAACCGGGAACACTGAGCTGATAGGGGCTGCTACCAAACTCACACAGACAGAAACTCTTCAGAAGAGCATCTGCCCACAAATTCTTTATGCGGACACAGGGATTCTGAAAGAAGGAATTCAGAATACAGAATCCACTGTCCTTTATTTGATCAAGTTTAAAAGGACAGAGACAAAGAAGGGGCGGAAGATCTCAGTGAATTATTCTCCACAATACAACACACACATTCAGTACTGTCTGTCCCACTGATACTTCATATTCATTTGAAGTCAAGTTTTTTGAGATCCTTTTTCCAACATCTTCTCTCTCTCTGCTTCAAGTTGCTCAGTCAAAATAATCTGTTCTCCTAAAAGACGAATGTTTTCTTTTTTCCGATTTTGCCTCTCAATGTCTCTGATCACTCCGTCACGAAGCCTCTAAAAACGTGAGAAACAGATTTCAGTAACACCCTGAACAGGTGGTTCCCATCCTGTGCCATTCAAATCCAAATAACAGTGTTACCAAAATACACTTAAAATGTTCAGATTGCAAATACCCACTTACTATTTTAACTTTCTGTGCAAATGTAAAATGTAATAAAGACACCATCAAATAAATTTGGTAATGTGCTACAATGTTATTACTGAAATGACTTCTTACCACATTTTAAGAAATTCCTGAATACAGAAAACTTAATGGGAAATAAAAAAGAAAAAACTGGCAGTATGTTGAATTTGGAAAGTTCAACTGATGAATGATGCTTTAAAAATTTCATAAGCCTGTAATCCCAGCACTTGGGAGGATGAGTTAGAAGAATCACAAGTTCGAGATCAGTCTGGGCTACATAAGTGAGACCCTGTTTCAAAAACAAAACAAAAAAACCCTGGATAAGTTAGTATTGTAATACTGAGAACTACTTTCCTTTTAGCAGTTATCTTTGATGAATAATAAACATCAAGAGAAAAAAATAGATTACAAAAATCTGAACAAACTGTTAAGGATACAAGAAAATACAGAACCAGGTTTCTTTTAGCATGAAAGGTGAAAAATGTATAAATGATACAAAATTACTAACCAATTACACTACAGAGAGAAAAGGAGGGGAAAAAGACTACTATATGAGGAAAAAAAGGTAGTCCATCAATGTAGAAGTTACTTTGATAAGCTGTAAAAAGAAAACTCCAGAATGTGAACATGGATGAGGTTAAAAATGAGATTTTTCAAAACATTAATTCAGTCAATACTAATATAATATTTTATAGTTTATACCTCACAGAATATGCTAATAACAGCAGCTTTGTGAAGCAGATTAATGGGACGAGGCCTAGGTACATTTGGTTTTTAAAAAATATTGAATCTATTTTTAAAGACTCACCTAGTGCCTTATTTGCTGCATCTGCTCCAGGCCTATGGTTTCATTTGCTACAATAAGGGAATTGGGATAGTTCTAAGGGTCCTGTACTAGTAACTCATCCAAAACTCAACTTTCTTAAACTCTATCCTGAGCAAGATTCCCACTGAGACACCCCAGGTCTTCCTGACACCATTTTCCTCACAGGACATACCATACCACCCACCCACAAAGCACACACCAGGGGCTGGACCTTCCCTCCTTTTCAGACATATCAACATGAGCTCATGACCTTGCTTTCCATCCCATCACTTGCAATCTTTCTCCAGGTGATGGCCTCACACATCCTTCCAGTGACTTCCATGTAAGTACTTACTAATCACCAAAGATCTCTTCACTATCACAACTCTTTTAACACCTGGAACTGGCTCATGTAAGCCAGGGCATATGAGAAGGGATATACCCTGATAAGCCCATGATAAGTTCAAAATATCAAAAGTTAAAAAAATGCATTGAATATAACCTCACCTACCAAACATCAGAGCTTAGCAACAGAGGACTATAGAGTATCGTGATCACATGGCTGACTGGGAGCTGTGGCCTGCTCCACTGTCCAGCATCTCAAGATATGATCTTACCACAAATCACTAGCCTGGGAAGGTATCAAAATTAAAAGTTCAAATTAGTTTCTACATGAATGCCAACTATAAGTGAAAACACTTTTACTTGGTTTTTGCTGGGTTACAGTGAGAATTAAGGATAAGGTATGTACTTAACACAGTACCTGGTATGGTAGACAGTCAGGAAACAATAGTCACTATTATTTCTTGCTTCTTTGAACCTTCAGACATATGCACAGTGCCAATCTGGTCCTACTCTTTTTCCCTGCTAAAAAGTAAGTCCCTAATGAAGGTATGTATGTAAAATAAGCACAGGTTATTCTGGTTAATCTTTTCTTATCACTAACTTCCAAATAACTAAATCTTTCTGTTCTTCCACTTTCCCATTCTCTAACAGTGATTCTCAACCCAGGCTATGGGTTAAAGCCTTCTGGGTGGCTTTTGAAACTGAGTCACTATACTCAAGAGATTCTGGTTTAAATTGGCTTGGGATGGGGGGACACCCCAAGCCTTAGCCATATTGTGAAAACTTCCCAGAAACATGTGATGTACAGCTAGGGCTTGGGACAAATCTCTAACCCATCCCCTACACCATTCACTTTGAAAATAACTGGCTTCAAACTGGCCTCAGGATTACACTGACATCCTGTTCTCTCCATCTCAAGTTTTCTCAGGATCCCGGACTTCTCCTTTTCCTTCTCAGAAGGAAGTTTGCCTCTATTCCAAAAGCTACCCCACTGCAATCCTACTTAAATCCCAAATCTCTAATTTCCTCCCTTGCCTTTTCATTTTTGATCATCTCAACCCCTCCTCAAAGTTCTTGTGCCTTTATCTGCTTCCTCTCCTCCGATTTCGAGATTATGAACATCAAGAACAAAGACCTCAACTCTGTACATCAATCCCACAGCAGCAGTCCAAACCAAGAACTGTTTACCCTTGATTCACTCAGTTCATTACTTCTATCCTTGGCGAACTAGGTTCAACCAAAACATCTGTCAAGCTGTTACTTGAAAGTTCAACAACCTGCTTGCAATAGTTTAGCGCTGCTGCAAATTATTTATATACCCTGAAGCCATTGTTCTTTATCTTTGTATTCCCAAAGTGCCCACTGCCTGGCACACAGTGATCAGGTCATTAACTGTTTGCCTTCTTGAAAAAGAAAATACGAACTGAGAGAACAATCACTAATCAGCAAGTTTTAACTGTTCATTTAAGCAGAAATGTCAAATCTCAGCAAACTGCCTTGGCCAAAGGTATAACGGGATAAAATCACTAGTAGTTGTTACTATTATTTTGGGGTGCTAGGGATGGAGCTAGAGCCTCGCGCATGCTCGGCAAGCACGCACCGCTGCCCTGCGCTCCAGCCCTGCACGTCCGCTGCACTTAAAACTCCTGGGGCTCCAGCCCCCACCTGGAGGCCGAGGGGTGGAGAGAGGCCAGTCCCTTGCTGAAGGCACTCCAAAGAACCTCCTTCCCGCCTTCTACTTGAGAAGGTGCGCGTCCCTGGCGCTTGGCGCTCACTCGGGGGACCACGGACCTCCGCTGCGCATGGCCGCGCGGTGCTGCCGCTAGAGACCCGGGAGGCCGCCGCCCAAGCCGCGAAGGCCTGGAGGTGCCGGGCGCACCCCGCAGGGCAGGGGCTGGGCAGGGACGAGCGAGCCCCAGGGAGGCGACTCCGAGGAGGAGCTGGCGGACGGACCACGCGGACGGGCACCACCAGAGACCCGAGGCCGCCGCGAGCCCCCGGAAGACACGGTCACGTGACACCGACCTGCTGGTCCTGCCGCTGCTTCAGATGCACGCCGGCCACCGTGGCCGCCGTCAGCAGCACCGAGAGGCCCAGCACCACCTTCGAGCTCCTAGACATCCCCGCGCCGGCCGCCGCGGCCGCCCTCTCCCACCCCAACAATCAGCCCGAGGCGCCAGGATCGCCGCCCTGCGCGTCGCTGCCTGTTTGGGACAGGCTCGACCCCTCGAGTGCCAAGCTGTCGATGTCGCCCGCCGCCGCCAGGGGCGAGCAATCGAGAGCCGAGCCTGTGCTCAGCGCGCGGCTTGGATAAGGACGGTGGGACCCAGCTGTGTGTGTGTGTGGCGGGGGCAGGGTCCCCCGAATACCCCACGAGCGGAATGACGTCCCCAAATCTGAAGTGATCCTGCCCAAACTTGCCCTAGCACCTTTGCCAGGTTGGGGGGAGAGGGGTTTCTATGCCTGAGCTCAGTCCCTTCCTCACCTCCTCCCCAGGGGTCGGGGGTGAGCTGGAGGGGTTGAATGCCCACCGGGTACTGAGCTGACCCTGGCTCACGCCTGTCTTTCTGAGCGCCTGCCTGGCCCAGGTGCTTTGCCGAAACTGGCCTCATCTAAACACAGCCTGGCATTGCCCCTAAGGCGGGCAGGTGCCAACAGGTCGTCGTCCAGTTAGGCGGCTTCCCAGGCGCAGGTGGTCTTCATGGAGTTTTTGCTGGAGAACACATAATAACACGTGGTAGGCGCAGTCACTTGCTTTCACTTGGGGTGAGTGGTCAGGCCCTGGTGTTTTTTTATAATCGAAAAAAATTTTTTTTTTCTTCTTGAGACATGGTCTTGCTATGCAGCACAGGGTGGCCTCGAACTCGTGATCCTCCTGCCTCAGCCTTCCAAGTGGCAACAGATTAAAGAGCACAGGTAACCGCGCCAGGTCAAGATCGGGAAAATGGCCCCAGATGCCTGTGACTCTTTTAAGAGCTCTTATATACTCTAAGAACCTCTATTTCTTTCCCCCACAACTGCAGAATTTCTTATGATTACGTTACTGAGAAAACAAATGATAGATTGAAGTCGTGCATTGGGAAGCATAAGGAACTTCTTTCTCCCTGGAGTAGAAAGACGCATGGCTGTCCAGAAATTGTATCTGAAAGAACAGCCACTGAAGAAGTGTTTATCATTGAATAATTCTTTCCCACTAAAATTCACATGGAACGAGCTTCTTCCTGTGGAAGCATTTATAGATGATATTGATTAGGGTTAGGTCTCTAGGTCTCCCGAGGTCTTCTGCGACACTCATCTCTGTTTATAATGCTTTGCTATTCCAGTCTGTTATGTGAGCATAAATGGTATGAGGCAAATATTGCTTTTTAGAGATGTAATAAAAGATGCCTTTTTCAGTTGTCATTCCATTTACAACATTTTTTGTAGCCTGAGAAAGATGTATTATTGAACTTGAAAATGGAATATCAGCCCTAATGAACTTTGGAATGAAGTTCCTAAATTATATTAAAGCAATTTAATTCGGGGTGTGTTTGCATATTTCTCTAAAGAAATAAAAACTATACTAGACTGCTTTTTACTTGTGGTAGAACCCAGGTCTGTTTTCTCTGTAAACCAGTGCCCCTTCAACAGATGTTGAATGTACTTCAGTGTATCAGATAGCCTTTCATTTTAATGTGATTAATTTTTCCACTTGAGATGTAGTCTACTTTTTTTTTTAAATTCTTTTTGTGTTTATGTCAACTAAAAAGGTGAATTGTCTGTTTAAATATTTGTAAACCTAGGACTGGAGGTGTGGCTCAAGTGGTAGAGCTCCTGCTTTGAGAGTGCCTGTTCCACAGACCACAAAGCCCTGGGTTCAAACCTCAATCCCCAACAAAATAAGTAAATATTTATAAACCTAACAGTATGTTTTACATGTTTGTCACTTATGATGATCTGAGAACATATACTGTGTAATTTTTTTTGGTTTTTTGGTGGGCTGTGTTTGAACCCAGGGCTTCAAGCTTGCAAGGCAAGCGTTCTACTGCTTGAGTTACACCTCCAGTCACTGAGAGTGACTGCATACCATGAAACATTGAAAAGCAATTTTTCCATTAAAATAGTTTCCATACTGTCTAAGTACATTTTAAGTATGAGTGGTGGATTAGAATAAGAGTTCTGGGACAACTTGAAGAGTTTCTACTACTGAATACATCTTTTTTCTTTCTTTGCTTCTTCTTTCTTTTTTTATTTTCCCCCCTTTCATCAGATCTTTCAGAAAAAAAGCACTCACACTGAGGAACACTTGCATTATTTTTTTCATATTCAATAAACCTTCTTACTTTGGGGTTACATCGACATTGTTAGAAAATTTGATTCTACGTAGGAGGGAAAGCCATAGGCAAGCAGTAGACAACAGTAAGTCACCTTTTAACCCAACTATGGCCAACAATGGGGGGAGGGGGTAGAAAGAGAATTCCATTTTTTTGTATCCATAGATTCTGTGAGGTTGGTATGGTATCAAAGGACGAAATTACAATTTAAAGGGTTTTTTTTTGTATTTTTTTTGTAGTTCCAGGGATCTAATCTAATGCCTCTTTATACTACTACTTAATAGACCTTAATTGGTTTTATTTTCCAAATGTAGAATTGGGTAACACTTCATTCCATAAAACAGAACAATTGTTCCCAAATACATTTCAAAAGGAAAAGTACAGATTTGCTAAACTCTTTTCTGGTGTTGATTGCATTCATTGTGCCAACAAACCTTGATTGTGCCAGGACAGTGGATTCAAGGTAACCAAACATCAACACTCAGGAGGAAGACAGACTCAGATCAAATACAATAAAAAAAGGGGCAGATGAAAAGTAGCAAATGCTATGTGTCCCCCAAAATTCGTATGTTGAAACTCTAAATTAATCCTCAATGATATGGTATCAGGAGATGGGGACTTTGGGAAGTAATTAGTGTTAGGTGAGATCATGATTATGGAGCCCCCATGATGGAATTAAGTGCTCTTAGAAGAAGAGAAAGAAGTTGACCTCACTCTTTGTACCATGTGAAGACACAGTAAGAAGACAACCATCTGCAATGCAGGAAGATGGCCCTCACAGGAGCCCAACTATGCTGGCTCTCTTATTACCTTCAACTTCCCAACTTCCAAAACTGTGAGAAATACATTTCAGCCCCAAAGTTAGGTGGGAGTGTAGATCTACTTTTCCAGGCTTAGGATCACCCAACACAGAAGATTCTAGATCCAGTTCTCCTTCTGCAACTCTCTTTCAGGACCTGGTCTTGAATTCCTCATTCACGCTCCCTCTGTGCTGAGTCATCACTCATGCCCAGTACATGGAAAGGTTCTTTTGCACCACTGGGGACTCAGGTGAGGGTTGCTCCTGAAATAACAAAGATGAGGACAAGCAGAACTTCTAGTAAAAGCAGGAAGACTTTTACCAGAAAAAAAAAAAAGAATATTAGCAAACAGTTCCCTCAGGCACTGTGCACATTTTCCTGCTGTTTATCTGTATCAAATTATTTCCTGTTTGTAATGACTCTATAAAGTAGGTGCTGTATTATTCCATTTTACAGGTGAGCGATCTAAAGCACCTTTTGTAACTAGCTCATAATGGACAGCCAGAAAGTTACAGAGCTGGTCCACCTACATGGGTTTTAATTTTTTTCTAAAAATGAAATTTGTCTGAAATTTCATATGTCTTTTGTAAATACAAGGAAGATGTTGCTGTAGGTTGGAACTAGGATGTGCTCCCCAACCCTCACCAAAGGCCCGTGTGTGAAAGGTTTATTCCTAGGAGTAGTGTTACTGGGAGAGGATGGAAACCCTAAGAGGTAGGGCCTAGTGGGAAGTCTTAGGTCACTATAGCGGTGTGCCTCAAAGGGGATTGTGGGACTCTGGTCTCTTTTGCTCTCTTTTTCATTTTCACAGGCCATGAGGTAAATGGTTTCACCACGCTCTCCCTCCATGATGTTTTGTCTCTCCACAGACCATGGACTGAAACCTCCAAAACTGTGAGCCAAAATTACCTTTTCCTCTTTTTAAGCTGGTGTTTTGTTGTGGTAACAGCTGACTAATACCAATTTGTATATAACTAGAGTGTTCTAATTTCATATGCTACTTGAGAGAAATTGGAGGACATAGAAGGCAAGAGAAGGAAGAAGAGGAAAGGAGAGAAACTTGACTGGACGCAGATGAGAGGGCAGATGAGAGATGATAGATTCAGAGGTACTAGCATTTGCTCTCTGAGAATGCTCTTTGCCCACTTGAAGATGGACTTCAGAGAGACATGTCTCTTCAGATTCTGGTTTCTGGTCTTCCATTACTCACTTCAAGCAGGAGAGCTGCTGCAGCCCTCCAATGAGATGTTGTTATCGTAAGTTGGCTTCCATGGGTACACACAGCTATGTGTCAAGGAAAGGGGTGGGAAATTGGGCTTTGGACTTGACATAGCTTAACACTTGCCCCATGATTTGGAGACAATTTCTTTGCTAGGCCTCTGTTTTCTTCTCTGTGCTATGGGGAAAATATACATCTTCTCTTTGGTGCACTGGCTGAGACAACTAATTAGTAGTATGACTGGCCAACCAAAGTCAGGCATGTGGTAATAATTCACGTGTGAGTATCACAGCCAGCAAGCCTCCAGTGGTCCCCTGGAAGCCAGAAGACCTTGACCCCCTTGGCCTTGAGGAGGCAGGAAGGCACAGGGAGGGCTCCAACCACTACTGGTGCAGACAATGGCCCTGGAACCTTGTCTGCACATATTTTGAAAATAATTGTTTGCAATGGTGTAAGCCTTATTGGAGATGTTACTGTTGACAACAGTGTAATCCTTCTAAGAGAGCTTGCCCAAACTGTGAATTAGAGCTTCATTGTTTCAAAATATAGATGTTCCTGGATTTACAATAGGATTCGATCTGACAAACCCATAGTAAACTGAAAATGCTTGCAATACACCTCACCTACAAACCTCGTTACTTAGCAACACAGAACCCTGTAGAGCATCAGTTGTTTCCCTGATGGTCATGTTGCTCACCAGGAGCTGCGGCTTGCTGTGCTGCCCAGCACTGTGAGAGAGGATCCCATAAATTAGACTGCTAGACCAGGAAAGGATCAAGATTCAAAACTTAGGGCTGGGGGTGTAGCTCAGTGCTAAACCATGTGCTTAGCATGTACAAGGCTATGGGTTCAATCCTCAGCACCAAAAAAAAATGTTTTTGTTAATTAAATTTGAAGTACAGTTCTTACTAATGCATATCCCTTTTACACTATCAAAAAGTCTGAAAATTGTAAGTGAAACCACTCTAAGTCAGGGACCCTACTTCATGTGACTAAATTATTTTGGACTCAAAATCTACTCACAGTACAGAAAAAAAAGTCAATATTGACATTGTTAATGAAAGAAAAATTGTTATATCCTTTAAATATAATTTAAACTTATGCATCATTGTTAAAAAAGATAATGGCTTTAGTTGACATATCATGCATTGGCAAAGACATGGAACAGCTGGAACTCTCCTGGCAGGAGTGTTGGTTGGAAACACCTGTACCCCATGATCCAGCAACGTCATCCCCATACATAT